AAAGACCCCTCCTTAAAAAATGTAACCCTCTCCCCAAACCCGCTTGATCACTCGTCCACAGAGCAAGCGCTAGCGTTGTACGATACCCCACGATTTAGAACGTCCGCTAGCAGGCGTTGCGTATCCCGCTTCGAAGCCCTCCATCACCCCTCCTCCCTCTTACCTTACCTCCTTTCCGCCTCAAAGTGCTTGCGATTCGGAGATCTCATCCAAAGCGCCTGTTATCGCCGATACTACTATATCGAGGAAGCAGAAAAAGAAAGAAAAAAGGAAAGTAATAGAGCCAAGGAGGAATCAGGCAAGGACCATAAGACATCCTGTCATGTCCTGTAGCCTCTACCAGGGGAAGTGGAACAAAGGGCCGAAAAACGTTACTGTGTAACCACATGTCAGAAGGCCATGCGGCTGAAAAGGAAAACCCCTGCTAAGAATCTACCCGGGGGGCAACGGAGGTTTTTCGGGCACCAAGCAAGAAAGCAAGCTCGAGCCAATCATGCGCGGTGACATTTTGACCGCCAACTAACCAAGCAACAAAGCAAAAAATGCGGTGAAGCGGTGAGGAGGGAGAGGGAGAGTGACACTCATGAATGTAGTAAGTAAATCGAGGTACTTCACAGAGCCGCATACTCTATCAGTGTATTCCCTCCCCAAAGGGAATAGTCATTTTTTGCTCCGCGACTATTTGGGGGAAAACGAGGGATTATCGCCAAACGAGAGCGAACAAGAGCACAACGGGCATGCAAGATTGATCGTAGGTACCGTCGATATGTCCGTTCATGTAGGGCAATTGGTGAAGGACATGTGATGGTCAGGTTGCCTTACAGTGCCTTTCACTGAGAATCTACCCTTGCGGGCACATAGTAGACCGAGGGGGTGCTTGGTTTGCATGCAGTAGAATACCCCGGAAATTATTATAGCGGGGAGATGGAGGGTGGTCGGTCGATAGATATAGATGGATAGGCAGTAGGATGGGGAAAAACAATTGCCACTCTCTATAACGCTTCACATTTTTTCACCCTCTCCCTACTGCACTGAGGAAGCACAATACTGTGAAATCGCAGGTGATGAAACCGCGTGCTCTTCACCGCACTGGCGCTGGACAGCGGACAGTGCTCTTCCATCCTCGATGTAACGACAAGTCCAGCAGATAGATTTCCAGAAGCGTGAAGACTCGCAAGGACGGCAAGTGTGATCTTCTTCCCCTGCTATTTCAAGTTCTTCTCCATTCGTTTCTCCACTTCCCAAGACCCTAACAAACAAGTCGGGCTGGGGAAGAAGCCGTCATTTGCCTATTCCAGAGCGATTCGGAGTTAAGGATTATTTCCAATTTTAAGAACGAGGAATATATTATCCTTCACGGCAAGGGAGCTTGTGTCGCCCCTTGTGTACCGGACCTCTTGTTCCTACCGTTACGGCAGGGAGGGAGAAATGGCGGACGTATAGGTTGCTGGGGTAGGAATCCGTGAAAAATGTAAGTCTTTGTCCGTTCTAGGCTTCTAGCTGGCCGAGCGACCCATCGAGTGGCTAGGCCATGTGCAAGAAGCGAGGTTGATAAACATATCACCATTCCTAGCCTAGGGAAGGAGGGAGATCAGCCGTAAGCAAGTTGCCCTTTCACGTTTACTTGTATGCCTCACTCCCTCGATTCTTCTTCTTCATCGTACTTCGCGAGAGGAAAGTGGAAACCAAAAGCAATTCTTTCGCTCTACCAAAAAGCGCTTTATCAGTGCACCCTTCCATTCAATTCCGAAAGGATAAAAATATCACCAACCCAATAAGATGACCACACTCGAGAACGTACGCGCACGCTTCAGGCATCTCGTCTCCCCAGGGCACAACAGCAGCCCTAACACAACAGACCCGACCGAGGACCCAGAGTAAAAAAATTGAAAAGCGACCCAAACGATCTTCTTATACCTACTCACCGTCATTTCCCAGACAACCCATTCAGTAACCAATGCTGAAAAAACGAAAAAGAAAGAGGGAGAGGGAGGGAGGAGCAGGCAACTGTTCGCCCCTATCATACCCTCACTCGCCATTAGGAGCAGGGGAGGTGACGAGGGAGGGGACAAGCGTTTGAATAATCTCACGCGGGAAGGGAATTGTGTGCATTCTGTGTCTAGCTCTCCGAGTTTGCATATGATACCGATAATATACCGAGGACCACTGCTTGGAAATACTCTCGTGCATTCCTGTACCGGCTTGGCAACTTGTCGGGCAAGTATGCGATGCGGTCCCATCGTCTGTACTCGTACTCGAGTATTTGTCAATTTCTAGTTCAGAATAATTCAAGTGTGGCAAACGCGCAGGACTTTTCTACTACTAGTAGTCGCTTCAGAGCAGGGGTTCCCGGGCCATTCCACCTTTAGTGGGGAACTTGGATTGGCCCGCGGTCATTAACCGCGCTAAAAAGATGCGAAATCTGCACACAGATAAGGGATACTGAATTGGTACTTGTGCTCGAGTACTGTACATCGCTCTTGATCTCCTCAATTCGAATCGGGTCGGGTCCATCTGTCAGGATTCGCTCTCAACATACCGCGCCATACATGACACTCTACGAGACTGCACCGCGAACAGCTCGGGCATACTACTTAGCTTTAGTCCTAAATATACTTGAGCTATAATACCTCGCAAACGATATGGTAATAGAACATCTCAGGCCATAGCTAATTGGATCTTAGCATGTACTTGGCCCCAGGGACCGACCCTTGTTTTGCGACAACAGCGGTTGCTACATTTCATAGCCTCATCTACTAACTCCCAAAGGTTTGAGCGGTCTCACAAGTGGCTTTTTCTTCACCAATACTCTTTATGCCCTCTTATCCCTGGGGACGCGGTGACAGAGCGAAGGAGGACTTATTGGTGGGCAGAGAGGAAGCGAAAATTTCGGCTTCCGGCGAATCAGGTATTTGTACGATGACGGGGGCTTCCTACAGAATGCGCTATATATGGATGAAGAGTAAATAGCCGTAGTGAAGTTTGATGGAAAGTACGATCTGTGGGTGGGATGTGTGACGGTGGACCATGGAACCCTAAAGCCCGTGAACTATTTGGTGAGTGAGTTTTCCACCCAAACCCTCATTATTTAGAATTAGGTAGTTCCCGGTTGATACACTTCGGCTCTATCTCTTATTTCCGAATGCACACCCCCAAGAGAGGGGATCTGGCTGCTGCGGTTGAAAACAATTGTATCTCCTGCAGCCTTGGTCAGGGGATATTGAACGAGTGCGAGTAGACTACTTGTAACTAAGTTTATACAAGCACTTGGCGATAAGCACCATTCGACCAGCCCTCTTTTCGGTCTACCAACCAATACCATAATTAATCACGCTGCGGGTACTGTACTCTAATCAAGCAAGTTACATTCCACCGCCTTTCTTTTTTTATGCCTCGCCCTTCCTCTTTTCTACTCTTATTATAAGTCTTATACACCTATAAGTACAAATGGCCATCCATCCTCAAGCTACCCCTACAAAGTGAGAGAAGGAAGGAAGGCGTAGATATCACATCTCCCCTCCCCTCTGTATCCAGGCTCTAAACCCAAACCATCATCTGTAGGTCAACCACATCACATTCCATTACCACTATCGTAGATAGCCAAGCCATGCCAGGCCTAACTCACACACTCGGCAACCGGACCCAAGCCCAAACAGTAACAATCCGTAACGGTGGGGGTTGGCGAGCTAGATCTTGCGGCGGCAGAGAATTTGATGCTACCCGCTCGAAATAGGCAAGTCCAATATTTGAAGGGTGAGGTTGGCCAACAAGCTTCCTTCCGGGGTTTGGTTTTGATAGATGGCTATCATCGGCTCAAGAGGCGGCACGGGATGTGGTTAGTACTCGTACTACTCAATAGTTGACGGAAGAGGCCAGCGCCTAGAGAGTTAGAATATAGAAGAGAGGAGACTGTTCTCGTTGCATTGGGATCAGAGTTATCTGTATCATACGCCCACCGCAGGCTTGGGGCCGGCCGTTGGGATAGAGGGGAAAGGCAGCGGTTCTTGATTGCTGATGACGAGGGTGGGGATATGTGCAGATATATAATCTAGGCGTATGACTCGCAGGAGAGTGTGGGGAAGTAGGTAGTGGGCTTTACAAAACGCCCGCTATTACCTTCCCGTGCCGTGTATTATGGAACGAAGGGTCTTTCACCGGGCACCGAGAAGGAGCTTTATCAGACATATTATAACATTATGGCCTGGTAACTGAATGAGTATGTCAACTTATGATTACCGTCCCAAGATTGCTATGGTGCCTGTACTCGTATAAGAGGGGCAGATCTAGCTGGGTAGCTTGGAGTTAAGGAATGCGCTTTGCATCACGCTAGCTCACCAAGCCCCAGGCATCAAGCCCCACGAGAAGATAATCCCACAAAGACAGCTATGATACTTTCTTTATCCAACTCTTGGCTAGGATACCACCGTTAAATATATGAACCTAAAACCAAGATAATCCCTCCGGCGGAACACCTTCATGAAAGACTGCAAGTCACCTTCAATCACCCCGCCGAGCACCACTGCAGCACACATCCCTGGAACATGGTCTGTAGAAGATTATACAAGTCTAGGAACAATTTGGGCTCGTTCGCCATGTACTGTAGGCCGGGGCCATATCGATCATATAGCCCGTGTTTTGCGGGGGATTTTGGTGGGGGGTCATTGGACATTGGGAGGGAGAAATGATCGAAACGCCGATCTGCACGGCGCCGAAAAAGTGGGAAAATCAAATAGGCTGAGGTCCAACAAAGACCCCTAATATTCGCCACACTTGATCTATCGGTAGTGTTTATGAGTAACGATATAGGTACAAGTATCTGTCGGGATGGTCGAGTGGAATGTTGGTACTCTTGTGCTGACTTAGTACTTCTCAGGTCTATCCTTTTTAGTCCACCGTAGGGTAGGGAATACTTAAGCTTAGAGTCGCTATTAGGTTTTCAAAAAGGTATCATAGGTAGACCCCCATTGCGAAAAAAAGGCAAATTTCCAAAACACCAACTATTCGAATTTGAATCTCTAACCCCCATTTCATTTTGTACCAAAAAAAAAAACCCCCACCCCCAAAGGCCAAATAGAAGTAAAGATGAAAATCACGCCGCACCACGATGACCGAATGTGTAGAAGATAAACAATGATATGCAAAAACAAAAAAAGAAAAGGAAGAAAAATACCCTCAACAGAACAAAAAGGCATCAGAAATAAATATGTTGAATAACAGATCCCTTTTTCTCCTGTTCTACCTTCGCCCCCACACTCAGATTCTTTCTTTTAGCTGACTATATACCTATTTCCGTACTTGGGATATCTTCACTTTATTCATGATTGGGCAACCCCGCCTCAACCAATCCGATAGCACTCCTGCACTCGACAATCCTGGTGACAACAAGGCCGGCCTTCTCAATGATATCCTTAAATTGGGCGGGCGTGCGCTCGATACCGTTGATAATAGCAGCCATGCAGAGATCGCGCTGGTGGCTATAGCGGGTGTGGTACCCGTAGTTTGCAGGAAGCGGGTAAGGAGCGGGTTCAAGTTCCGAACACCCGAGGGTGGTGTTCATAACCTGGTCGCAGATGAGGATGCGGGACTTGGGGGACATGCTGGCACGGATACAGGAGAATATTTTCACGCAGTACTCGTCAGACCAGTCGTGGCTGTGGTGGGTCGCACGAGTGATGGTTAGTGAATGGGGGGTCAATTTCTTTTTCCCCTCTCCCTTATTTCTTGCAAAAAAGAGGGGGGTGTTGGGAAGCTAAAAGAGGAGGGGTAGTGGGGGCGTACATGATGTAACGGAACCAGTATATGTCGGCGCCCTTCACGGGATTAACTTGGAAGAAGTCGTGGGCTTGTAGGGTGACACGGGACTCGAGTGCTTCTGGGTTCTCCTTGGCCCAGATTTGCTTGGTCTGTTCGATGACTGCCGGGCGGTCCTGAACAACAAACTTGAGGTTGGGGAAGCGCTTGGAGAGTTGGAGGGAGAAGCCACCTGCGGGGAATCTTTCGTTAGTTCGCTGTGTTATATCCCCTCATATGTCCCCGGAGAACAGGTGGGGGGAGGCAGGGCAGACTTACCAACACCACCGCCGACATCTACAATAGTTCCATTACCTAGAGATCCCCAAGGGTAATCTATGAACTATCAGTACACAATATTCCATAGCGGGAAAGGAAGTACCCCTTGATGTGATTACCGTAAATGTGCGCAGTCCCAGTGACTTTACCACCACCCAACATGGCCAAACCGAAGATCTCAATTTCAGGGCGGGGCTTAGTCTCAGTGGAAGTTGGTGCAGGAGGCTCGACCTTGGTCTCACCGACACCGACAACATTGCGTGGGTAACCTTGACGGCCAAAGTCAGGGGCATCAACGGGGATCTTCTCCTCAAGCCACTCCCATCGGGACTTCTTGGTACCGACGGCATCTTGCCAGGCAGTGAGGTGAACATCGTATGAGTGGCCCTTGACGGGGTCGGTGAGGTACTTAGGGAAGTAGTCGGCGGCACTGTACAAGTCGAGAGCACTAAAAGGAATTATTAATATTGGTATCTAATCGTGGGCATAGCGAGGGCTTACAAGAGCATGAGGTATGCCCGCAATGGCTCATTTCCGACGAGAGCACCAGTGATCCTGTTGTTTGCGAAGCGGTCTTCACTGACTTCACGGAAGAGGTGGTTAGAACAGAGGCAGCGCATAACACGGGCTATTGTTCAATTAAATTAGTCTCCAGCTTTCACCGAATTTAATAGATACACGGGAAACACTAACAAAGCTTCTTGGACTCAATCCCGATCTTAGCACTAATGTCCTGAACGGAAACGCCCTCTTTGTCATGCCCCTTCAAAATATCGGGAATGCGGTGCTCGGCAGCGATATGAAGGGCACGGGATTCAAAGTACTGGGACGAAACCTCGAGCAGTCGGTGTTGCGGTTCGTCGACGACTTCCGTCAACATACCTGCTGCGGCCAAAATTTCACGACGGGCCTGGTAGAGCTCATGCGAGGGGAGGGAGACACCGTCCTTGGTATCGGGAATGTCAATGGGGTTCTTGGACCACTCGCTAATCACAATTCTCGCGTTCTTCGAAATTATCTCGGAGAGAGCGAGGAGCTGCTCTGCATCGACGACGGATCTTGGGGCGGCAGTGGTCATTCTGTTAGTAGCTGTAGTAGCTATTTATCGTGGGGAATGGAAGGGGAACAGGAACAAGATGAATGGATGGTTAGCAAGGGAATAGAAGTGTGAATTGTCGAATGTTGCGGTGGGGGGGGGGCTACTTAAGTAAAGCTTCCAACCTGCTAGCTTTCCCTTGTATTAGGCGCCTCACAACCACCCCGCTTGTCGAGCACGTTATTACACCGACATCGTGTGTTTTGGTTGTTCTTTCCGGTTCTTCTCCGGACATGGAACACATTTGGGAATGGCCCAATGGCTAGGACCCTGACGATCATTCGGATCCGAGTAGTTGCGCTAAATCTACCAGTGCAGTCAGTGCTTGTGCCTACAATGCACCATGTGATGGTACTCCCTCAGGTAGAAAGGGCTGTGTTCTTTTGGATGCTTAAATTTCCGTTCTAATGTAGGGTCCTAGAAATTCCATTATTGACCCCGGATTATTGCGACCCCCATACGAGTAGATTGTTTGAAACTATTCGAGTTGAAGAAAAAATTATCTTGCCCCAGAGGCTTGGGCATATCAATGATGATCAAGAAAGCCCTGGACCCATTCGCTGATAAGGCCAACAAAGTATCTTCAAAGAGCTGTTGGAGGGTGTCCAAGATACCTCAATTTCTTCCTCCATCCTCAACCGGCGGAGTCTGCATAACCCACGGTACGAAAGCCGCATCTACGGTATTCTCGCGATATTAGTGAAAGGATTTCTTCCCTATTGATGCAACAGGAAGGACGGTTGAGCTTTTTTTCCCGTCCTGTTTGTTATTCGTGTTGGACAGTCTGGTTACCGTACCGGTAAATTAGGTGGATGAGATCCAGGTAGTTGAGACACCACCTTGCTGCCAGCTGCTTCGGACCCGCTGCGATTTTCCGGCTGCCGAGACACCTAGTAGCATTGGGCTTATCATGAACATCTCTCTCCTCGAGGGGTCGAACCGCGCGTCCGGACTCAGAGTCGACGAAGCGGTAGGAGGAAAAGATGCACGGTGATTCTCTTTCCACTTCTGCCGCTCATTCGCACCTGATGTGGGCGGATGGCCAGGAAGGAAGGGGGCTCGTTCAGCAACTGTTGGTTAATGTTATGTTCACATGACGGTGGAACCTCACCGCCGTCAGGGCCACCGGCAGGGCTACGGTCCCCTCGGGGGGAGAAGCACAACAGAAAGGAAGGAAAAATAGGCCATTCTGACGAAGGTGGCGACTCTGTGATGGACTGATTGGATGAGGCTTCTGTTATGATAATACACATGATGTTGTGGTTCACAGGTATGAAAGCAACTTGCGCGATGCGGTACCGAGTACCGGCATGGTAGAATGGAGGGCCCGTTATTCCAAGGGTTCGAGCACAGCTGGTTGCTGGTAACCGACCCGAGCACCAAACACCCCGCAATCCCGATGGTGAGGAACGTCTGCACCCAGAGTGCTTTGCCAAGAAAATATTGTCCAACTTCTACCGCCACTTCAATGAGAATTACAGCTCTATTAAACGATAAACTGGGTGGTCCTCTAAACATTGATAGAGGGGAAATAGGAATATCTCGAGCCTTCATGGAGATATTGGGGGTTTTGAGGGGATCAAAATCTTGGTAGAAGCAGGGGTTGTCCCGGACATGTTAATTACTATTTATCTCCTTGGCGATAGCTATTAGTAGATATTTGCCAAGGTGTTAACGTGGAATGAGGCCATGCTTGGTAAATTCACAAACTATTACCAAGCAATTATGAATATCCGCCCGTTCTGGCTACTGTACTGTACAGAAGTCTCTCATCATAACTCTACAGTTACGGGTAGCGATAGTCTTCGGGCTTAGCCACGCCTAGAGCACCTACCGGTACTCAGTGGTGAAGTAATCGGCTTCACACCCTTGCAACGGCAGTGACAAAAAATTGTCTCAAAGAGCTCTCGCGAGCCAATAGGCAATATTAATCAGTCTACCGGTAGTCGTGCGCTAAGTGCGAGATTTTACGGTGCTCTTGCCGTGCTAATCGCCAACTTATCTCAGAGGTTACAAGCGCTCTTCTTCTTCTTTGATTGACTGAGGCGCCCCTCTTTTAAAGTGAATGGTATATAGTACGAGTACCCGGGTGATGTTTTCGTACAAGATGAGGATCATTTTGCGGGGTAATAATCCCCTCTCTTTTACGAAAACATCTCCCCTGGTACCTGTACGGTAATGTTTACGACCTGGTGTATGATCCTCTGTAAATTCGGTTTTTGGGGCTCGGAGGCCTCTGCCGTGGGCAACTATTCCAGAGATTGCTCCTGTAAACAGGGACTTTACAACCGGTCAAGTATCCTTCCCGCACACCGTAAGAACACTTGAAATTCACCATCTCTGACAGGACTTTAATCCCCGGATTCAGTCACAAAAGCTCCCGAGAAGGATTAATATTTTCATGAGCCCTTTGGACATGTCGGATCTCATTAACAGGCATCTTCAATTCTGTTAATTTGTCAAGCCAAACTATGGTGGTCTACTGCGATAATTTCTACTGATAATCCGATAGGGTTACCTATGCTATGTGACTCCTACTCCCTTCCCCGCCCCACCTGATCCCTAATGGCCTAGCGCCGCTTTCTCTACATTTATACCGGCGGCTTTCCCCTCATCGAGTACCGGTGATGTATATTACATCATACACTTTACATAAATGTGAGGCGTTACTGGTCAAAGAGCTGGTGGAGATGTCTTCGTGCATGACAGGGATCACCGCATCTTTAGACACTCTTGACACTCTGCCCGAAGTTGAAAAAAGGATTATTCCTGTCTTGGACATGCATCAAGCCATGTTTCAACCCGATTTAGTGAATATATATTGGTTTTTTGTTTGTTTTCTTGATACTTGTAGGCGGTCGATCCTCCTTCAGAACCAGCTTTACGTTTTTTGTTTTTGCCTGGTCAGTCAATGACTGAATTTCTCTAAGACACAAAGGGATATTTCCTCAACTTCCCTCAGACCGTCGGGTGTTTTTAAGGTGCAATTTGTTGGATTTTCTATGGGGCATGCGGTCAGGGGACATGCGGTTATAAGGCATGGGAGTATGAGGTGTGCGGTGATTAGGCACAGCGTGGTGGATATCGTAGTTGCCTTCACACTCTATGCTGGAGGGAAACGGTACGGGTGTTCGTTCCGTTTCCTTGATATCTGCCGCCATTGAGCATCAAGTGTTGGGTCTTTGGTTTGGCTTGTTGTGCCATTCTATCATACGCCATTCGGCATAGAGCTCTGGCCTGTTCGGGATGACCCCCGAGTCCCTTGGGTGACGATTGATGTTTCGATTGCTTTCTCGCCCCCCCCCACTTGAGCCCTTGTCATTTCCGGGAGTTTTCCGTTTATTCGTTTTAGCCCATAAAGTTTCTTTCGGGGTTCAGAGTTCAGGGATCCATGTGTACCTCCTGTTCTGTCCTTAGTTAGCATCTCTGCTGATTGTCTGGTGCATCATCCTCTCCTGCGTCCAGTTGCGCCGGCCCACAGTAATTCGCTCTTACCACTCCATCTATTACTGCTCTCTTTAGCTTTCTTCGGCGATAACCTTTCGAGAAACAGCTCGGCCATCCCCCCACCCCCAGCGCTTCCTCGACCATAGTTGAATCTAACCGGGAGGTAATATCAACACCATGATATTATACCCTCCAGGCCATGTTCTGTGCCTAACGTTTCAAACGCGAAATTCCACGGCCGGTAAACACGGCACCGGTTGGTTGTACAAGGAAAAGGTACTGTACTTCTTCAATTATTCCCTTTGCCGACATTTGCTCACCGCCCATCACTTCCGGTCCCGGCGATTTTGATGAACACAAGCAGGACTAGAAATGGCTCATCCCTCGATTCCTTTCACAATGCAATATAGTTCGCCACGGCGCTTTCCCCGATCGTGGGGAGGGAACACTCGAGGGTGGAGAGATCCAGGTAGGAGCTGTAGTAATAGAGACCGAAATTTCATCAGGCGCAATATGGGGTGGCTCATCTGAACTCCGAGGAAGAATTTTGAAGGTGGGAATCCTAACTTGCTGGGGTTGATGTGGTTTTGTTATTGGAGGTTACCGGAGAAAGGGAGAGCGAAACCTAATCGTCTACCGGGGCACAGGAGTGGGTTTATATATCCTGGAGCCGGGAAAAGGTATCGTAGAAACACATGAAGAAAGAGGCTGAAGAAAGCCAAGGTTGACATCATGTAAAAAAACTCATGAAGAACAAAGACAAGAGAAAGGCGAAGAATCACAAGTGATGAGAAAAAGGGGGGTACCATAATTGAATATGTGATGGCTGTAAAGCTATAACATGGACGGGAAGAGTCAAGTGTAGTCTAACGACAAAGGAGTAGTGAACAGCAGACTACTAGTGGTATTGAGCACTCGAGCAGTAGAGAAGAAAGCTATGAAACGAGACTACTAGTACTCTAGTAGGGAAACCAGCGGTGAAACAAGACTAGTCTGCAGGGCGGATAAACGCCATATCCAACTAGTTTCTCGAGTGATAAATTATGAACTCATCCTAAGCTCGACTAAATACTTTGGGAGAATCATTCATCATTAAATTTTATATTTATGTATTCTACAACTTATCTAGGGGGTTTGACCCGATAGCCCGGTAGCTTGTCAGATTGTGGTTCTGTCCTCACTTAAGCCCGTACCTGCCGGCAACGGCGAGTCGTGTCCAGAGGCCCGGGAGGGAGATAGAGGGAGATAGAGAGAAAGAAGGGAGGTAAGAAATGGAAACAAAACCAGCGGATATCTCCTCCCTCACCTAAAATACAAATGAGAGCTTCCTACTAGATCCCCACATCACGGCATGTGTGTGTTACTGGACTAAAGATTCCGGTCTAGCTTCAAAAAGAGAAAATCACCTCCAACTCCCTCGTTGCCTCGAGGATAGTAGCTCCGTATGATGAACACAGTTGTGATCCCTTGGGCTTCGTCTTATAGAGGTTTAAGTGTTGGGATTGTCTCTTTGAAAGCGCCAACTTTGGCGTAAGCCGAGCGTCGGACGAATTCCTTGAGCTACCGTAGTACAGTAGCTGTGGCTGAGATGTGACAGGTGGGGCGGGGCGAAAGTCAAGAGGGGTGTGGGGAGTGCTAATAAAGAGCCTTGTAGGTTTTGGTATAACAGCGCTTCCTCCAGCTTTAATGGGGATGACATACGCGCCTTTCCCCAATTGAGGGGGGGGGGGTAAAGACCAGTGGCACCAACGTTATACCTGTGATGCTACATGTGCCCGGACACTGGGCACTCAGGCTAGTGAGGGTGGTGATGAATATATTCCCAGAACTAGCCAGTAGGACGCAATGTATATGCCCCCCCGTTTCAGAAGTCCACAAGAAGGCATTGCCCACAGTGCTTTCTCTGTCCACCACCCCTTGGCCTGTTGGTCTCTCTGTATATATAGGGACCATCCCCCCCACAGATCCAATATGCTTTCCGACCCTTCTCAGACCAGCCTTCTCCTTTCATATACATACTCCTTGCCATGCCATCCGACTGGTGGTTGCTTCCGGATATCGCTAACAGTGCGCGGGGTACTGGCGTAATGTAAGCGGTGCTCGGGGGAGGGTACAGTTGAGCGTTTAGGGTAGTTTTGATTAGGGAAGGGCGTCACCGACAGTTGCTCATCGCCATGCACCACCATCATCGTTCGGCCACCCCCTAGTATAATGAATATGATTCGATGGGTCAAATACATGACTGGATTTCATCTGGTCACCATCATCTCATATCACTCGCTCGAACCGGAGAATACAATGTTGAAACATACTTCTGGCACTACCCATTCTGTGGTATCATATTACTTATACTATTATTTTCCTCCTTACATCAAATCCTGTTGAAAATCTAGACCCCTTGCGCTTCTGAAGATATCCCCTTGCATTACATTCACCCTTCTTTTGTTTGTTATTGTTATTGTTCGCTCCACCTATTTGTCTCTCTCTCAACAGTAGATAGTCAGGGTCTTTTGCCCTTCCTTTTGAGATGATCAAGCGTTCAAGTTTTCCAGTCAGTCAATCACTCAATCGTCCTATCGTTCCACACATTATTCTCACAACATACTAGAATAAATAGCCGTCCTCGTGGAGGGTTCCACGAGGTGTCTCCTGATGTGTGCCCCTCGCGGGCGCCATAGAGCCGCTACCCTGTCACCCTGGCCTTGAGGACAGCAGGGGGTACCTTGAATCGAATGACGCCGGATATGCAAGGCAGCATGGCGAGGGTGTCTAGGGGACGAGTGAGGACGCTACGCTTCTAGATGGACTAGATCTGGCCCGCATGTATCTTGTTGGGGCACTTCCCCCTGAGTAAGCTCTGCCCATTCCATCTGCAACCGGATCCCTGGTTTGGTTGGCAGTACGGTAAAGGTACTAGTGAGCGAACCTTTAGTGGAAGTACGATGAGCTAGATGAGACATGTTTCAATCATGAAATCACGCTTGACCACAGCAGAGGGCCATCCCCAGTTACCGAGAGTGTGTGCTTGCCTGCTGATGAAAGGGCCTATTAAGGGTTGTATTATAAATACCAATCGCGCCGCACTCTGCCTATTGCACAAGGGACCTTGCTCCCTCAGCCTGGCCCACTTGGTCCATACTCATAATTCGCCTAAAGCCACCCAAAAAGGGGCCAATCTCCATGAAAGGAATAACGGAACAGGATGTTAAGAACATACTCGCGCAACATGCGGAACGGCCCCGGGATGTCGACGAGGCCATGGGAATTGGCAAAGAAACCGGAGATTCTATAAAGGTAAGGGGGGCAAAGCCCTGGAGAGAAAGGGGGGTGAGGTAAAAAGGGAAACAACACCATTAGAAACAACCTTTCCATCGATATGTCACTTATAGATGGCTAATCAATTCCTTCATGAGGCGATCGAATACAGGCCCAAGCGAGGTCCCTCTACCAAAGCCATGATTTGGGTGCGCAGGATCAGACATACAATCAAATCCCAGATGGAATCAAGGGACCAGCAGCGAACGAACTCTATCTATGGATTTTAAAGGAATACCCAGGGTTTGCGTTCAAACAATATGCGAGTTGGAGAATGGCGCGAACCTGGAAGTCATTAGTACGAAGAAAGGCTCTGGGGACAAAAATTCGGGGGACAAGGGCCCGGGGGGCAAGGACCCGGTCAAGGACTCAAATCCCGTGTTCCGATCCACCTGCTACCCCTACGAAAGGCACAGCTCCCGCAAGACTAAAGAGTGGTAACCCACCGCCTGAAGGAGGGGGATCGTCAGCGGTAGATAGCAAAGGTGACCTCCCCATAAATGTGAACGCTCATGCCTGCTTCCACTAAATCCGTTCAAGCCTCTAGCGTTCCCGAAACACTACAAGGAGCGCCGGCAAAGCCCAAAGGTGTGTTTCCACCCAGCGGGAACCCTTCCACACTGCAAAGGCTAATAGGATATAGGACCATTTAGACCGTGGGAGTAACTGCAAATGGAAGGACACATTGAAGGAGTGGAGAAAGGGCTTGAGAGGGGGAGGGCTAATCAGGGAGGTTGTTGTATGGTGCCGGTCAATCAAAGCCAGCCCTCGTGGCCAGGTGGATCTAAAGTTCTAAGATCCTCCTGAGAAGGTATGGCAGGGCTTCCTCTAGTAGAGATATTTAAATAATCGCAAACCAGAACCAGTCTACGGTTTTTTGCTTTCATCTAAGTTCATTACAAATACCTCTTTCAAGTACACCAGTAAAGTAAAATAATGAAATGGGGTTACTTACCAAATCGCCAGATGAATTGTTTTTTAAAGGTCTTCTTGATTGTTGATAAGTCAGTTTGGGTAGAATATCTAGGAAAATTGGATGGTGGGCTGGTTTCGATTGTCCGGCACTATATCTCATTGTATTGTATTTCTTGTTTACTCTGTTCTTTCACAGGAATTTACATCTTTCATAGCAGGCTATATACTGTGCATTCTGGCCCACCATCCGAGCAACACGGAAGTACTATGTCTACCCGATGTATTCATGTCGCAACACGTCTTCGACAATGGGTAGGTGATAGTTGTGATACCGAGTGATACGTCATGATCGCGGCCTTTCCCACCCGTCCACCTGCCCGCCCGACTGACGTGCGCTATCGTGAGGATGGTTGCCTAAGTAAAGTGTGGGGTGAAGGGAACATCTGTGCCATGAATGAAATTCTTTCGTCTTCCTTTCATCTCCCTTTCTCGCCGCAAGATATGTTTTGTGCGAACAGGTGACTGAATGCGGAACGGTGTAATGGGACTCTGTGGGTGTGCGGAGTCGGGACGAACCTTATAAAGCTCGGGGAGGGTACACTGGTGTGGGTTGCTGAGCCCACTGGCCGTTGGCTCCAAGTGAGCGCCTGTGACGCTTCTAGTTTTTCCCAGGGTTAACTTGATCACCTATTTCCTGGGCCAAGAGAGCACTCAAATGCTGGTACAACACCTACCACCTGTCCGCATAGAAAGCGGATATTGATTTAAGTCCCACCTGCGGAGCAAACGGGAATGTCTCGTACCAAGAGCCAACCCAGGAAATTTCAGTGTTCCCAACCGTTCTACTGAATGGTCCTAGTCATATTGGCTGTCGGAATCGGGTAGGTGAAATGCCATTGCTGCTAATGATTCAGGTGGGTTCCATAGAAACGCTAGGACTCCTACTAGTCTGTCCGCAGGTTTATATCACCGGAGGCATCACTATCATTGCTCGGTTCGGAGGCATCGCAGCGCAATTGCGTAATGCCAGCGCAACACAGTGAATGATGTAGTAATAGTACCAGAGCTGTCCAGTGCAATCGAAGGTGCCAGACTGGTCGGTGACAGTCAGACGGAGGAGTGGATCCACGAACGGTGGGACCAGGACGTTGAGAAGCGCCAAGAGGGTCGTGCGGTTTGGCCTATGGGAGTAAAGAAAGACCCGTGTGAGGCGCAGGCAGTCGACCCTCCCTTTGGGTGTAGCTTGTACTAAAATGTTTGAATATGGTTGCAGTCTTGTATTTTTAGGCAGTGCTGGTTTGAGCCACTGGGGGCTATCCCAGATGGAAGGGTTGGTGCCGTTGCTATTGTAGTAGGGACAGTTCAAGTGCAAAACCTCCCAAATGGTGGCGTGGCCACATACACACATCCTGTCGATCACAGGGGCATATTTTTAATACACCATCCCATTTGTGTGACGGCAACAGGGATGAAACGAGAGAAAACGAAACTACTATGAAGCAACAGAAACGAAAGAGTCCCATCTCCAGCATAATAGACGCCAACTACCAAGGAATGCCGGCTCAAACCCACCATCAGACCGCCCAATAATAAAGCAGGTGATACTCGTAGAATGCGCAGACAAGTGCATACGGTAGCCAGTTTCTAGATGTTGTTGTCTTCAAATTCCACCCACGGGAGAAAGTAAAAAAGAAAAAGAAAAAAGGGTCAGCTTGTCGCCAAACCACTGAAATATAGGAGGGGAATCAACGAGCAGGGAAGCACAGCAAACAGACCAAACACCCCCCCTCCTATGTTATTTATGTATTCTATCCCAGAATTTCCCAAATATCACTCGGCCCCGGCTCATGTTGCCGGTCTCCCCCCTCAATAGGGTTTCCATTCCAAACCAGGGACATTGACCTTAAGAAACCCCCGCGGGTCTCCCCCGGACTCTTGCACATCTGCGTCAACCATAGCATCAGTGCTTTGTGAGCGATCATCGCCCATATTGTCCTCTGCCCCAGATGAGATCGCGCCACTGCTATCCGAGCCTGCTCTCTTCTTAATCTTCTCCTCATCCTCTAGCTGCGTGATGTATTCATTCAAAACCTTTTCTCTCATCTTCTCCTTCAAGGGCCCCTCCGCCATGGGCATCCCCCAAGGAAAATACCATTTTCCATGCGAGCCTCGGGTATAAAACTTTGGTCCCCCCAGCTCGTTGAAGGCTTCTATCCAGACGTGGCAGGCACTGCAGCTTAACTTGGAGACTCCAATGTAGCTAAACGCAGGGACATTGTCCCATGAATCATAATGTTTAGTTTGGAGGTACTGAATAAGCCCACATTCGCAGTGGACTGGGCATTCCCGTTCTCGCGACCCAAACTTTTTAAATAGATTCCTTGCATCATCCTCCTGCCATAGGTATTCCTCACCACTTGCAACCTTCAAAAAGGACTTCCACTCATTCTGCGATGCAGGTAATTTTACGTTTTGAGCCTGGCCCAGGAGAGCACAAATCGTCATATGGTATTGCAAGGCGGGCCGGAGGCGGGGAGAATGGGCAAATCCAAAGAGAGATTGAATGTGGCGAGGTAACGAAATCAGTTTCTCAAGAGCGCGTTGAAGCGGGAAGGGGTCTCCGGGATCGTCGCCTGGTACAGAAGGGAAGTTAGGTTAAAGGCTAGAACAGTGAATGAAATCGGAAAGAGAAGAAGCATACCTTTTAACTCCCGGGCCAACCTCTCACAGCCGAGCCCACGGCTATCTGCAAGCACAAGTTTTGCCTTCTTATTAGCGCTCATGTTCTTCCAATATACGTTTTCCCATTCATCATTTGTGAGTTTCCTTTCAGAGAGCTTGAAAACTAGCTTTAGTGCCGACACCAACGTAATCACAGCTCTGGACAGGTCCTGCTCAAACCTTCCTAGGCCGACGCCCGTACGGCGTTCGTACAACTCTTCCATGAAATTAGAAACACCTCCCAACCACTTATTCACCCGCTTCATATACTTTTCCAGGCAGTACTGGTATACCTCGCGAAATATCTCTATCCTCAAAGGCTGTCCCACCTCCGAGGGGATCGGTGGCGACGGGATCGGGTCCCCATCCAATTCCTCGGTCCCCTGGTTCCCATGCCGTGCCTCCGCTCTCTGCCTCGCGTACTCGTCTGATAAAGCCTGCAACTTTCCCCATATATTGTAGAGATGGTTAACAAGGCTATCCCCAACGTCTTTGTTCTCAGCGATCGTCAAGCGAATTTCTTTGGTACGGTGTTTAAATTGTAGAGCTATTGCGACGACCTGAAAATTTGGCTGAGAAACAGATATGTGGGCAAGGGCATCCATGACAGGGCGGGTGCGAACGTTTGTTCCATAGTGATCGACGATGCCGGATGTGAGGCCAGAGGGAGGGTCCAAGCGGCGAGTAGAACCATCTTGCCCACTCCTGAATTCGTAGCACATCAGAGCCACCAGGTGGTGCGGGTCGGGTTGGTTGGCCATGGCTCCGAATCCACCAGCCAAGGGGCGGGCGGGATGTGGTGGGTGATTACTCGGACTAGTTATCGAAAGCATTAGCACGGCAATAAAGTAAGCGAGCCACTTAATCATACCGTCAATAATGGTAATCTAGCGCACCGTGAGAGCCCTCGAGATCCACTATCTCCGGCACCCCTGTAGCGCTCCTGAGAAGAATTGCCGTTTTCACGACGCGGTATAGGGCAGGCCAACTAGGTTGAGCCTCGTTGGCTGGTGTTTTCAGTTCTGTTGACTGTCGAACGAGACCTTATCGTGAGCAGACCAGCTGAAATCCGCTGATAATCTGAAAGCAGATTTCAAGAATTTTTGCACCGTGGCAGGAGTGAAAAGATTGACGAGAGGGAAAAGACAGAGAAAAAGCTGACAAACACAGTGATGACGATGGATAGGGGCGTTGTAGGGGCGGGGAGGAGAGATGAGGCTGTAGATGGATAAAGACGTAGTTCAACACCGTGCACTGAACAGAGAAGAGAAGGATAGAAAGAAGAGGAAGAATGAGGGAGAGGGTCGAGGGGGTCGAGGGGGGTGTGAGTGGCAAACAAAGAGAATGAGAATGAGCTATGCCAAGACATAGGTCGTATTAGTCTCGTAATCACATGCATATCACCATTCCCCCCTAGTGCTCGCGTGATAGCCAATCATGTCTAAGAAACCTCCGTAAATCACCATAACTCGGAAACGAAAGAACCCTCTGCGACATTCCTGGAACCCCACGACCTAGCACAATTCAGTATCTTCATCAACTTCAACATCTCTCACAGTATTATAATACACCACTTTATTTACCCATCACTTGGATTACGCATTCCGATTATAGGCCGACTTAACTTGAGCTCGCCACATATTCCTGCTCTCGATAAATACTTCACAATCCTATAGAATTTGGGATACCGCTGCAAACCCGGTAGTGCTTCTATGAGTCGAGCAGTGCTCCCAGACCCGCTGTTGTTCGGGGCAATAGATGGACGGGGAGGTTTGTTCTTTCTTGGGCTGAAGGTACATCGACAAGTTTAAACCTTGAGATTACTATCCTGCTCATTCATTCCACTCGCTCACCTAGTTTTCGGAATAGATAGCTGTTAGGGAGTAATCACGAAATATCACTCATTTCCTCCCTCCCCTGCTGTCCTTCATCTTCCCCCTCCTTCCCTTGCCATGACCGGTTGGCGAGCTTCCCCGCCCAAAGGCCACCGTGCTGAGGTATTACTCCCGTGAGCAGGATATGATATCGTACTAGAGGCCGTCCAGCCAGATCATTGGCTCTTGACAGTCCATATTCAGGGTCCTCCACAAAAACCCCCAGACCATCGGGAAAACTGTCCGAAACTTGTCTTCGCATTCTCAACCAAGTCAAAGATACCGTATCCATGGATTTCCCTTTTCTCCCCCCCCCCCGCGCGCCCTCCTGGGCTTGGCACCGCTACGCCTGACATGCCAGACTTGCATTGTTATTCCCAAGCGGGGAAGCGATACGGCGGTTGGAAGAAAGAGATCCGATTTAATCTGCTATCTGATGACAAGATTCTGGTTAATAAAGTTCTAGAAACAGTATAAAAGTTGGAATCGGTGGCCTTAGTACCGCCTGACTATCTTACTAGAAACACTAAGTTAGCTTCTAATGCTCAACAAGCCGCTTGCCTGCCGCAACCAGCAGGATTTGCGTGTGAGATTATGTGATTACTCGGCTTGTGGGTTATGCTACTTGTATACGCGGTGATATCCATCCGTTAATAGGCCCTATGATACAGTAGCTTTTCTTTAGCTACTATTCCTAGTCGCCGTAGCTAGTGAAACTCTTCTACCACGACTGGATATCCGGAGAGTACGGTTTCATACGGGCCACGTGACATAGAAATGCTCACGCTCTTGCTGTGAAGTTATCCGATCTGACGGACTCGGTGTGTAAGGGAAAACCAACCAGATTCTTATAGATTATTTCCAAGCCCTCGGCGTTTTTGAGATCCCGCTGTCCCCACAACGAATAACATGACAAAGCTCTTCAAGTATCGGTTCTGCATTAATACAACTGATCCGGATTTTTTCGTGCTTAGGGGCATTCTGCATCCGGACCGCTAAATGGGGTAACCCTCCGGTTGGCCTTCCCAAATATGCAATTGCAGTATGATAGTAAGGCTACGGAATTTAGTGCCTCGGATGGTATTTGTACAATCACTTTTTATTTCATTCGATGAAAATTTAATAGAAAACCAATTCCCCTATCCCATGTGATTGAAATTTCAAGAATACCAGGTATTTCGTACTGACGATGAGGTGAATTAAATATCTGAGCCCCCACTAGTCGTGACGGGTAATCGCTCCCAAACACCTTAATCACTGCACTGGCCAGTGTGTGATTCGGAATCTGTCCCAGCGGGTATACCGCACAACGGCTTGAGGACCTGGTTGTCTCATAGATGGACGTGAGGGGGCCGAGGTAGCATTATGCGGTACACTTCTTAACAGAATGGTAGATAGAGGCATGTCATCAGTAGAGATATCAGCGGTTCATGCAGTAACGATCTATATAGGAGTGTGGTAGTGTGGGTGAGTTCTCATGTTAACCCCGTGACCGCTCATCTCTGAACGGCCCGATTTATGATATTATCATAGTAAATTTATCAGATGTCACTGCGGAGAGTCCCATGGGGTCGGGGTTAAATCATGCCCGGACAGCCTACCTGTCGGGCGTACCACTTTTCTGCCAGCGTTATATCAAAGGTCTTTTTGCTGTAAACACGTATAAGTACCTATTCCCAACCTAATCGCATTAGACTATCCACTCTATAGACTCCTTCGGCAGTAACCTTTAAAAAATGCAAAGCAACAAAAAGGTATCCCCCCATTCCCCTAATCACCCTAATTCCCCTCTCGCCTTCAAGAACCCGTTCGGGCTTATCCACCCCCCACCTGAATATCGTGTGAAAAGCAAATGTAAATACAGGTAGAAGAAAAGAAAAAAGAAAACGCCTATTAACCCATCTAACCTGACAAAACCCAGCACAGCGATCGGGCGAAAAACAAAAGCCCTTACAAATCTCAATCATCGCCGACCCAAACACCTTCCCACCACTTCTCCAGGGCAATCCTCAATTTCTCGGCTTTCCACTTTGCGTATTCCCAGGGGTTCATGTCTTCAGGATTTTTTTCATCCGATTTCTTTTCTTCTCCCTCCTCGGGGCTCTCTACGGGGTGGTTTTGGGGTTCGTTTTGATTTGGCTCTGGTAGTTGTGTGGTGTTGGGATTTGGTTGCGGGTTGGGGTCTGCGGGGATGGTTTGAATGGAGACTACACCTTCACCTGCACCCGTTGGAACAGTAGCGGTGAGAGTGGGAGCAATGGTTTCCCCTACTTGTGCAATGGTAGATGTGCCAACCTCTCCCTCTTCTTCCCCTTCTGCGACTGGCCAACCGTTAACGGCTTTGAATGCCGCAAGATCTTTGATGGTCGCATTTGTACCGCCGAGGGCTTCGCCAATGCCTAGACTTTCGCAGACGATTCTGTGCACCTCCCAGTTGCCGAATTCCTCCACAACAACACCCACGTCAACCGCCCCCTCTATACCCTTCCCATATATGTGTCTAAACGCGGGACCCTTCGCAACGAAGATTGCCCTCATCAATGGATGCAAATTGTCATACCCGTGCAACCCGGCAGGCTCATACCTTCCTTTGGAAGGTGCATCCACGTCGTATTCTTCTCTAGTAACGATAGCATATCCTGTCTCGGGAACAACCCACAGCGGAGCTATCCTATTGTTATTAGAAAAGTGCCAGCGGGGGGGCATATTCTCATCACGTAGGTACACGTCCCAATGTTTCTTGCCCTTTGCCTGATTCATGAGGGTCTCCGAGAGGAGAGTTTCATAAAGGGCTGTTATGTTTACGTTTGCATGCGGGCGGAGGCCATAGAGTGGCCAGCCATCTGTGTGCTCGATGAGTGACATGTCGATTATCTCATCGATGTAAATTAGTCTTTCGTGGGAGGTGCTGGCCATGCCATGGTCTGAGACTACGATGATGTTTATGAGGTCGGTGAGGTTGCGGGCGTTTAGACCGTCGAGGAGATCTGTGAGCATGGCGTCTACTTCTCGGATGACGAGATTGAGAGCGGTTGTGTTTGGGCCGAATTTGTGACCGGTCACGTCTACATTTGGAACGTACGCCGCGATGAATTGTGGTCGGTCTTGGAGGGGGAGGTCCAACCATTCTAGTATCCTTGCGGTCTTTCTTTTGAGGGACTCGGTGCTGTTGAAATGGTCTAGATAGCTTATGCCCCAGCCATCGTTAGCCTCAGACCCGGGCCACATGTGCACTGCCGATTTAACGCCCTGGCGCTCAGCAGTGGCCCAGAGGGGCTCGCCGCCCCACCACTCGCCTTGCAGGGAACGGGCAGGGTCAGTATAAAAGAACTCTTTCTCGAGGGCCGGGTCCCAGAAGCTGTTCCCTACAATACCATGTGACTCAGGGTATAATCCCGTCACAATGGTCCAGTGATTTGGGAAGGTAACTGAAGGGAAAGCAGGCGTGAGCCATCGCGGCGACAACCCGGAGCTCGCCATCGCCGTAAGTTCAGGGCTCATAGCTCTGTCAAGAAAATCCGCACGGAATCCATCCAGCGAAATCAGTAGCGTAGTAGGCATATAGTCATGCGTCCCATTAGAAAAGCGAGTGTCCTTCGTAATACCAAGCGGGGCTGTCCGGGGGCGATGGCCGTGTGAAAGCGATAGCGATGCCGAAATTAGTAGCAGCAAGAGCGTCAGTAGCGAAACCGTATAAAGTAGAACTCTACTAACGGAGGGTTTCCTTGGCTATCCCTCAATCGGTTAGCGCCCTTGTGCTCAACCAAATCGCCCAGCTGAAACAAACCTTCCTGTCAAAAACTTCCTTCTCCCTCAACAAATCAACCTCCCCCCCTTCTTCACTGTTGGCCCCATCATCACTATCCGCTCCAAGCCCAAACTCTCCTCCCTCTTCCATACCCAACCTCTTTCCACCCATCATCTGAACAACGTCGCGAACACCCTTCTTCTTTCCCCGCACACCGCGTACTTTCCTCCCGATCTTTACACCGGGCTTGCCGCCGATGGATCCAAACAGGCCATTTCTCCCCGCCAGTAATTTCTCCCGCTCTTCCTCTTCTCTGAGAACTTCGTGGTCGGCACAACTACCTTCGTCGTCCGAGGATCCTGAGAGGATGTCATGCGCAGCATTCGCCGGAACAGCGGCGTATTGCGCAGTAGTCATCGCCGGATGTCCGCTAGGAAAGGAAGCTATGGTACGCGGTGGGGCTTGAGGGAGAAACAAGAAATAACGGGAATATCCAGGTACTTTGTGCCGGGCTTTGGTAGTAGAGTCCTCTTGAAATTAGTTGGTGTCTGTAGGCAAACTGGGGGTGCTGATAACGGGGCTGGTCGTTAGGATGTCGACAGTCTCCGTGGATTGCGGGAGTTGAAGGTCGGGTAACACTTTCTGGCTGAGCTTGGCGTTTCCAAGGGATCTGATGAATGTGTCGCGTAGCGCTCACCCTAGTCTACCAAGTCATGCTCCAAATGATAGCCTGATGATGATTGTCAGTCGACCAGGACAACCCTCCATGGTGGATACAGTAAGACACCAGACCTCTTGAAGAATAATTCCTCATCGGCCAGCTCTCCTTAAATGCACGCTGTAAATGTCGTGCTAATGAAATCTATCCAATCCACGGTCGGGCAGCACTGGACTATACCCGCTATAGGTACCGAAATCACGAAACCCGGCCGGGAAAGGGAAGAAAACAATAGGCAAGCTTTCGCTCGCAGGAAAAGGGGGCAAGTGAACAAGAACAAGAATAGGGGGTCGCAGGATTCGAGATCGCACGTCCTCAGTTGAGTGGGTTCGCGCGGGCGTAAGAAAGAAGGAAGGAAGGAAAGGGGGAGGAGGGCTCGGTTGAGGTTGTGGTTGTGTTCTCGGGGGCGTCCATCACCCTCGACTAAAAGCAGCTCGATCCTTTGGCTAAGTTACTGTCCACTTCGATGTCCGCACTCCCATTGCAGGAAAGGAGGGGGGATGGGAGGTCCCTTCTACACCTTTCTATCATAGGATAGTCGTCCCCACAAACACTCCGCAGAACAGAACAGTCACCTCCATGGACCCATAGAACACACAATTAAGATTTATCATGGAGCTCCAGGGGATTACAGGCCCTCCTTGGCAAGATCCATTGTCCTAAACGCCGAGTACCAGAACCAGTACCCAACCTACCTTACTCCAGTTCTTGAGTTGTCGATACCCTCTATGAGATACCAGTAACAGTAACTGGGCTGAATTTTAAAGTTGCACGGCCACAATGGTTTACCGCGGATGGAGAGAGCAAGCGCCAGTAGGACTATCGTAGCGGAAGTTATCGAAGCGATGACCAAAGCCTCCCTCCTAGATGCGATGGGATAATGGAGGACGATCGGCTCAAATTTCGAACCTGATCGAACCGCTCTGAGAAATTTTGACATGCTTCTAGTAAAAATTCCTCTGTACGGATTCACTAGATGAGCTTCTCAAGAGATACCACACGGCGCAGAGTTGGTTTTCCGCCGCCGGTGCTTGTGCCAGACGCCGGAGAAAGGACTCTGTATAATATCTTTTTCTGCCGGGCGGCCTCGTATTTGGTCCGACACGGTGAGACATTATTCTGCAGTCCCAGTATCAGGGCCGTAGGTGATACAGACTTGTAGTAGCAGACCGAAGTGGACTCCGGTACTTACGTGTAGTATGGGGATCTGGGGAGTACTATGGGGGTCTGTGGGGCCTATGAATTTGACGAATTAGAAGCAAGGATGAGAGGAGACTGCGGGGAATCACCGACCGGGTTCCGTTGGATCACGATTTGCACACCGTCAAGGGTGTCTGGAATTTTCCTATTTCCCTACAGTACTGTTTTGGCTATTTCAAGGATGCCTGCCAGCTCGTGCAGTTGAGATAACTTAAGATCAATGTATTATCCCCTAAACCGCTGAGACATTCAGGCCCATTTAAAGTGTTGAACACTAGCCTATTTGAGCAACCGTGATATGAAAAACTTCGTCCTGGTCAAGTGGCGTAGTTCTCAGAATTGCACAAAATCAGGACTCCTCAGCATGGCGGTGATGGAAAAGAGATATGCCGCGCAGATTTGCTCCCGACTACTCTAATAGGCTAGTGTTCAACATTTTAAATGAGCCTGAATGTCTCAGCGGTTTAGGAGATAATGGTCAATATACTCACCCACCAGTTTTTCGGCCAATCTGGGTTAGCGCCCAGATTAGGTAAGCGCCGTCACTATTTCTTGTAATACCGGTACAGTACTCACTTAGCGGTCTGTCACTCACTCTCGGTTAGTGCTTAGATTAGGTAAGTGCCACGGCGGTTAGTAGCCTACCCTCTGCTCCGGATTACTTCAAGGTCAACGTGGCCTGAAGGATTCATTGATAGAGTATGATAAAGGGGGAATACCAAAGGGCCAACATCGGTTTGGAGTGATTCCGGGATCACGCTGTGCAGTGGTTCAGGCTTTGGGTCATTGAATGGAGACCTGGTCCTCCGTTCTGCTGGAATCTTCATCTAGGTTTCAATGTGCGTTGAGACCTAGGGTAAGCGGTGTGGAGAGCTGTACCCTCGGGATTATGGTACATAAATGGGCTCTATTGGCATATTGGATGAGGGCTGATGTATTGCGGGCTCCGGAGGTGGATTCGTATAAGTCAGTCGGTCGGGCGGGAATTGTGAGCGATCACGGGGTATCACTCGGCGTCAAAGAAAGCTACTACACGATGCGCAATAATCTCACCGGATGAGGATAGTACTTCCATGTCTCACTGCGTCGTATACAATGCGGACGCAACCCGGGTCGAAATCGGAACCTCCGGGATAACCGATTATGAGTAAGCTGAACCTTGTGGACGACATAAAAGGTAGAAAGTTCGACCCCCCGCTGTAGCTGACCCTCCCACCTCTGTTCAAACCCCTTCGCTATTTCCTAAACACAACCACCGATACCTGCGATAGCTCCCGCATTATCCCTACTCCCATGGTCTGAAATGCCCTACGCCATATTAGCCTTTACCAGGTGGAAGGGCTCCCGCGGACGAAAACATACCTTAGACTTTGCCGAAGATCCCCGTGGTGCTTCGGGAGTAGTGGAAACCTGGTTGCTTGAAGGGGTATCACTTTGGCGACTAGTCGCGCACGGCTCCCCACGTGGTCGATCGCCATTGTCCTGTCCTGAGGGAGCCGCATTTAGTATGGGTAGAGAATGGACCCATTCACGAAAGGGGCAAACCTTTGTTTCTCCTGCGAACCTTTCTTCGTGCTGATGATTTCCAGGTTCTCGCCATTCTCCAGATCGCATACCTTCGGGATGCGAACTCCGGATACCTCGTTTCAATCCAAGTGTAGAGTGCGCCTTCTGCAGGCCGCTTGATTTCCTCTGGGATCCGATTGTATGTGCGATCCTGTCCTCCCAGATTATATCTTTCGTAGAGGTTCCTCGCCTCTGCCTATATCCAGCCCCCCCCGTGAAGGGGATAGTTAGCCATATATAACTATTCAATGGAAACTTTTCTCAATAGCTTTCCCCTCTTTCCAATCCCACAGCCCCCTTCCCTTCACTCTCCACAGATCCACTTGTCTTACATTTATCTCATCCCCGGTTCTCTCACCAATCCTCATGGCATCATCAACATCCCGAGGCTGTTCCGAATGCTCTGCGAGCACCCTCTCAACAACGGCATCTGGTATTCCACACATGGGCTATAGGTTTCGTTTTGCAAATGCAGAAGAGCATCTGGATAAATTATAAAATGTGGATCAGGTGGGCCTGGTCGATGGAAACATGCTCTGCCGTGCCATCGCAGCAGGAGGTGCAACAGGTATTTTTAAATACGCACATCGGTAAGCGTCTTTAGCGGAAAGCACATCCCCTCACTAGCAGGGGTGCCAGGCTCCGTGCTATGCTCAAGTGTTCCTACTTGATTGAAATGCATCTAGGCGGTGTGGTCGTATTTTCGCTTGAGGTTCTGTCGCGGACTCCCTATTACCTCAGGTGCCAATCCCCGGTGCAACACACGCAGGGATCTGGCTGGGCCGCATCACCTATAGGTTGCATCTGTCCAACGTCCTACAGCCCTTGGCTCCTGGGGCAAGGTAATTCAGGAGACACCTATTATTCGAATAATTGGGCCGTGTGCTACGAGACGTCTAAAAGGGGAGCAGCCCCTTTCCCCCTTCTGAGATATCATAATAATGGATCTACAGAGCTTACTCAGGAGGAAACACCAACAACCTACACACGAACCTTACACCATGTACCCGAGTATATTGTTCAGCGAACGAACGCACCATCCCCTATCCCACCAGACCTCCATCCTATATCCTCTCCCCACTCACAATGGCAGTATGTACATGAGGCCCTACATTCGAAGAAACCCTCCGGGCAAGTGACTGGCGCCTTTATCGGGGAAACCAGGCTTTAAGGGCTAGATTACCAGACCCTCCCCCATCCCCTGCGCCCTATCCAGGCACGTCCTCACCTAGCCCCCTTCGGTGACGATGTACTAATACCTGTCTAGCAAGATTGAGGGCTGGAGACCTATTAGGGCTAATCGGACACCTTTATGTGGAACAAGAGTCGTTAATAAACATAGGAACCGCCTATATGCACCCAGTGGTACGTGCGGTGGGATAGCAGACCCATAGCCACTACGGGCGGTATATATTGATGGCCGTCCTGTGGAATGTCCTAAGCGGACAGGGGTATTTGTGGTAGGATTGATGAACGGAGCGAGTGATATTGGATGAGGGCGAGCGATGGAATTTCATTCCTGTACTTTAATGGGACGCGGGGTATTGGGGATCCAGGTCCGATATTAATATAAGAGTGGTCATATAATATTTGGTATATACGAGTGGCCTATGCATGCCAGCCTATTGCAGAGAATACTCCAGATCCATTGTACCCATCGCTACGGGATCCTCCACCCAATTCCAATGTCCCGTCTCCAACGTCACCCAATCCTCGCCGCTGACTCCGCCTCATAAACAACCCCATAATCCCCCAAGTCCCAACACAACCGCCATCTCATGCCACAGGGTTAGCCCCATAGATATATGTCCATAACGATATCCACCCTATATCCCCCACCCCATAACCTCCGCTCCAGGTCTCCATTACAGAGTCTCCACCTGCTGCCAGTGTCTCTAGCGGTGTCGGGGTCCCTAGGAGGGTTGGGCTTCCTGGCCGCCGGCACCGAGCTATAACGTTCCTGAGCTCATCCTGGGCACTCGCGGGATAACTAGGATACAGCACTGGCCGGGTAATGCTTGCGGTTGGCCATCTGGTTCCCTGTGTCAGCTCAGTACCAAAACAGCTTTCTAGTCTTAACCATGG